AGTGCGGAGCTTTTGCCGCAGAGGCGCTACATGAAGCTCTCCAACCTGCTGTCCGGCTTCCACCGCCGGCCACACGTGATGGACTGCAAGATCGGCTGCAGAAGCTTCAAGGAGTCTGAGATTGCGAAGCAGGCGCTGCGAGGGGACCTCTACCAGAGGATGGTGGGCTTGGACCCCTCGGCGCCCACACCCGAGGAGCATCGGGTGCAGGCCTGCACGAAGCACCGGTGGATGGATTTCAATGACAGCGCGACCACCCTGAGGAGCCTCGGCTTCCGCATAGACGGCATCGCGCACACCTCTGGCAAGGCTCAGAGGAGGAAAGGTACCTATACCGCTACCTTTGCCTCGTTTTTCACTTTTGGGGCCTCCTGGGCGGCCCTCGTCGCCACCGCTGGATTCGCCTCCAAATTTTGGTCAGAGCGCACCCCAGGAAAGATCCGGGGAGGAGCGGTATCGGTACCTTTTGGTTTCCCCGAGGCGTCCGGCGCGGAGCTCCGGGGTCAGCGGACACTCCGCCAGGTGGCCCAGTGCATCGTGAGGTACTTCCTACCAGCCGGGGGCTGCTGGGAGGACGAGGCGTCTGCCACGGCCGCCTCGCAGCTGCGGGTGAGGATCGCCCGGGACCTCCTGGACCAGCTGAAGGATTTGAGGACCACGGTGTCGTCGTCGCAGTTTGTGCGGACCCACTCGATCGTCGGCTCCTCCCTGCTCTTCATCGCCGACGCTGAGGGGCCTGGCTGTAGTGTTCACGTCATCGACTTCGCCAATGCGGTGCCTGTTCCCCCAGGGCAGAGCATCGACCACCGTGGCCCCTGGAAGCCAGGGAATCACGAGGACGGCATCCTGACTGGCATCGACAACTTGATCCGCTGCTGGGAGGAGGTCGTGGTTTTTGCCGAAGATGCTGCGAAGCATGGGCGAAAGTGAGGCACCGATCGGCGTAGTCGTCGTGGGCAGGAATCCAGCAGGCAATGTCGGCATCCTCAATACAGGCTTGCTATCGCTAGCCGCCAATGCCTGACCTCTGTCGCTTCAGTGGCTTTGAGCTCGGTGGCTTCGAGCTTCGTGCATGTGGTAATGTGGAAGCAGATGTCCAAGCGTCAGTTTCACTCTTACGCTTCACAATTGTACATGTGCAGAATCCTACGGATGTGATGTGCACTTTCTTCGTTATGCATTGCGCAGCTTGTATTTGTGAGTACAGGTTGCGCATTGCGCCCGCTCCTACCTGTACGCGTTAGTTGTGCAGCTTTAACTCTTGAGTCGCCTCCCTCATATTCGCATGGTGACTCATTGACCGACCTATTCGTCGAGGCAGCGGCCACTGCTCAAATAGTGCGGATGACTGCTGGTGATCATTTAAATGAATCCGTGTCTTGTGCATTGCCCAGGGGATGTAAGCACACCAAGCGAATCCTGGAGCCAATGCTAAAAATGCGTTCCGATACAGTGCTTTTTACAGCGTGGTCGACGGTAATGTGTAGCATGCGAACTGCCAAACACCATGGCGAAGGGCGATCATAGATGATGCCAATGTGTGCGAATTGCGCGTGCAGCTCCATACTGGACACACGCGCTATAGTTCGGGGAGAGGGAGCATGAAAAAGGAAATTTGGTAAACCACTCACGCTGAGAGGGCAGGTGGGATTTTTCGCAACCCTACGTGTCGAATTTTTCATGGGCTCTTAGGAGGTCGCGCAGAGTGGAGTTGTGCGGGGATCTGGGCTGCGAAGTGCGCAATTGTCGCCACTTTCGTGGGTTCCTGGGAGGTCGCGCGGAGTTAAATTGTACGTGGATCTAGTTGAGAGTTCGCGGCTCCCCTGAGGGCGGCGAAGTGGGCTTTTGAAAGCTCGAGACAAGAAATACAATTGAAGACAAGTTTTAACATCCAAAATGTCAGGGGGGTCCCATAGCGAGCGGCGCTATCCCGTCACGCAGCGCTCGGCGTTGTCGCATCGCAGCTCGCAGGCAGCTGCTGCGCCACGCAGCGCGTGGCGGTGGTTGTCCGCGTGGCCTCCCATCTTCAGCTGCGTTTGGCTCGCCATGCCACCCCGCGCGGTTGTTTCGCTCAGCGCGACGCGCTGTTCTGTTATACGGCGAGCGTATGGCGCTTTTCTTTCCCGCGCATCTATCGCTCAAGGCTGCTGCTGCTGCTATTACTTATCACGTATGTCCCTCCTTTACCCTCTACACCCCCGTGTCTGCTCTTGTCTCCGTCCCTATCTTGCATCTTCGTGCATGCTGTCTTGCGTATGTCTGGGAGCTCTTGCACACTGCTGGTATTTCAACATGTTTCTTTGTAGTTGGCGGCCCCATCGTCCAGATACGTGTATATGTATGGATGTATGTATGTGTTTATATATGTATGTATGTATGTAGGTATTTATGTTTATATGAATGCTTGTATGCATGGTTGTATGTATGCTCGTATGTATGTATGTGTATACATACATGCGTGTATGTATGCACGGGTCTGTGTATGTTTGCTTGTATGTATGTATGCACGCATGTATCGATGCATGCATGGATGTATGCAGTTCTGCAGATACGCACCCACACATATATATATATATATATATATATATATATACACACACACACACTTGTATCCGCCACATGTTTAGGAACAGGTTGGATACGTCATCGCGCCATGTTTCACGGTGTTTGAAGGACTCGGGCCTCTCGGGGGCGTTCTTGGGAGACCCGGAGGCCACTCGGGGCCGTCTCGGTGCCATCTGTGGCATTCTTGGAGTCATGTCGGCGGCCATCTTCAGCCAACCTGGACAGTCTTGGGCCCATCTTGGAGGAGTTCGTCCAAAGAAGGCGAGGTCCCAAATTAGCGCCGCTGCTCGGGAGCCCGCACGCTCGCCTCTTGGAGCGCTCTTCGGGCGCTCACGGGCGCTCTTGAGGCCGTCTTGGAACCCTCTCGAGCCTCTCTAAGGGTTGTCTTGGGCCTCCTTGACGCCATCTTGAGGCCTCGGAGGGCCACCGACATGGAAAAGGCGAGAAGGCACAACACATTGATTCCTCGTCGGGCTTTGACTGATCTTGGCTTCTTTGTAGCTTCCTTGGGGGTCTCTGTGGCCACTTGGATTCGTCTTGGGGCCTCCTGGAGCATGTTGGAAGCCATCTTGAGCCGTCTTGATCTATTTGAGCCATCTTGAGCCGTCATCGTTGCCTCTCTGAGGCCCTTTTGGAGCCACGTTGGGCGATCTTGGACGCTACAATGGGTTGCGAACCATTCCGTCCAGGACCAGGGGCAGGGGGTAGGGGGATGGGTCAAGCTACCCTGCTAGATAGCAGGCCGTCTAGCTCACTCCCACCCGCCCTCCCAACACATAAGTAACACCCGAGTGCCAGCAGATCGTTTAGGAACGCCCCACATGCCATGCGCGCCACGGGTTTCACGTGCACCAGGCACCCTGGAGGCCCAAGCGTGCCAAGTGCGGCACATGCTCCACATGCGCCAATTGTGCCACGTGTTCCAGCCACGCCAGGTGCGCCAGTTACCTGGAACCAACAGGGACCCCAGGTGCCTGGGGGCCTGGCCCCGAGGAGCTCCGGATCTCAATCCCCTTGAAGCGAGGTGCCGAAAATTCTGTGAGAAGGGCGGCTCTTCCAAGGAGCGCAAAGCACCGGCACCGGCGGACAAATTGTGACATTTTGAGGAGTCGTAAAACAGATGAGGTCTCAGAGAAAATAGGGCCCTGCGCATGGTCCAGATTTCGAGCCACAGTGTATTTTCGTATTGTTTTTTGATTGGGAGTATTGGCCTACGCGCAGCAAGCAATACGCCGGCACCCCCGCCGTCCCTGTCAAACACCATGCAAAGTGGTCGCGGGGCGCCTGTTGCATTGTTTTTATAAGGGGTGGTGTGGGAGGGCTCATTGGTCCGAATTGGCTGCCGGTCGCCTGGGGGAGGGGGGTGTTGATTAAAAGGAGCAGTGGTCAAGCTACTCACAAGCAACGAGCCGTCTCGCTCGTTCCCACTCGCCCTCCCAACACCTAGGTAGCACGCGAGTCTCAGTATGGAAACGGGCCGCCGTCGACAGCCATCAGGAACCAATGCAGACGCCAGCCAAGTCCGCGAAGCCCGCGGTGCGCCGCACATGCCAGCTGCGCCACGCGCGCCAGGTGCTGGGCAACATGTCGACCCCCCCGCCGTCCCTGTTAAAAATTACACCTGAGAAAACCCCAATCAGTGGATGATTTGAGAATTGATACTATGGATTTTGAGATCGATTGTGAGATCGATAATGAGATCGGTGGTGTAATCGATAGTGGGGACGATTGTAAGGTCGATCGCGAGACCGAGAGTGAAATCGATTCAATGAGATCGATAGTGAGATCGATCGCGAGATCGCTCATGCGATCTTTAGTGAGATCGCTTGTGAGATTGATAGTGAGATCGACTGTGAGATCGATGGTGAGATCGATCGAGAAGTCGGTAATGAGATCGATGGTGAGACCGATCGATAAGAAGATCGTCCTGGAACCCGGGAACCCAGGAACCTCGCCGCCCTCCGAAATCGGCCCGGAACCCGGAACCGGGAACCCGGGAATCCGGAACCGGGAACCCGGGAACCCGGGAGCCCAGCTTGCCACCAAAATCGGCGGGGAGTTTTCGCCAAATCCTCCAACTTCCGCGAGGACCCCTTCAGTGCAAGCATTGATTGGGGAACTTCCGCGAGAACCCCTTCAGTGCAAGCACTGATTGGGGAACAGTGCAGCGTGACGGCGGGTTTGTTGCGTGCGGGTGTGCACCCACGATCGCTGTGCACTTGTTGTTTGACCGTGTCGGTGGGCGCGCGTGCAGCAGGCAATCTGCCGCCCCCCCCCAACCCGCCGTCCCTGGCAAAACGAGTTTCTTTTTTGAGAGGAGCTGGTCGACCAGCACACAGCAGGCAATATGCTGGTTTTCCCCAACCCCTTCCAAATGCCGACGCGATGTGAGCGCGAAGCGTCCGCAAAGGATCCAGATGTTGGTGCAAAGCGCAGATTGCATTGTTTTGTTGCATGGGATGATTGGGGGGTGTTGGTACTGCGCAGCAGCCGATATATACATCGGTGCTCCGAAAGTTTGTTCCGATTTGAGAGCACGGCGCCGCGCGAATGCGGCGCAAACGCTATGCTGGAAGGGCGCGGCAATGCATGCCCCCTGGACAGGCGAGAGCAGCCGCGCCTCCGGGCGAACCCCGATTCCGCGCGGGGCGCGTTCCCGTTGACAATGGTTCACCCGGGAAACCGTTTCTTGTGCAGGAAGTCCTGAGCGGTCTGCCCATCGGCGGCTCCTTCGGACGAGGCCCAGAACCACCGAGAAACCGTTTTTGATAGGAAATTCTAGGCGGTTTGCCCATGGTCGGATTCTTCGGAGTGGGCCCGAAGACCTCGAGAACGACGTTTCTGCAAGGAGTCCTAGGCGGTTTGCGAATTGTCGGGTCGTTCGAACTGGGCCCGAATTTATTTTGGCACAACTCCTATGGGATTTGGCCACTTCCAGGTCGGCCGGTAAACTTTTCGGGTCGTCGCATGACCGAACCCGAAAGCTTTTTTCGAGGAGACCCCGTGCCGTTTGCTCGTTTTCGGGTCAGTACACCGTTTGGGATTTGAAAATTTGAATTAGGAAGCGGAACCCGATCCCGCGACCCCGGGCGGGGGTTAGGCTCTGCCCTTGCACTGTACTGGGCCTCTCCGGCCAAACGCGGTGCTGGGCTGCCCATCGGCGCGCCGATTTTGCCCTCGCGACATCGTCCCCATCCGCCCTCGGGCCCCGCGAGTCTTATCCTGCGCGCGCCACCCCAGATGGCCGCGGCGAGCGCAGTGGCGAAATTGGAGAAACTTTCGGATCGGCGCAGTATGCTGCCCCCCCGCCGTCCCTGTCAGAAACCAATGCGCAGTGATCATGGGGCGCCCGCGCATGATCCAGATTTTGGCATGTCGCATTGGTTTTTGCAACGGATGGTGGGGGGGGGGGTGACTTGCGCGCAGCAAGCAATATGCCGGCACCCCCGCCGTCCATGTCGAAAACCCATGCCAAGTGGTCGCGGGGCGCCCGCAACCGAAATTTGTCCAGGATTGTTTCAAGAAGCCTCCAGGAAGCTGGCACAGGTTTCTCAAGTTGTAATTTTCTGGGTCGTACGTTTGGTTGTAATACACACTACACAGAACTCGCAGGGACTTGAGGACACCCCAACTCGTGCTTCAGGGCACGGTGACAAACATATGTAACGCTGTGCATCTGTATGCATACAGGTACGCGTGCCCAGAGAAAGAGAGTCAACGGGGAGAGCCATTTTACAGTGTCCCTGGTCGCGGAAGGGGACTCTTGGGGTGCTGATCGTAGTTAGTATTGCTGTTGTCGCCTCCCCAACGGCTGCCCCGCGACCCAGCACTGGACCTTCCTGCCGCCCATCCGCAACCCGCCCGATGCTTGGGATCTTTCAGATTCATCGTTTTCCCATTGAAAAACGCATGTTCCCATCTTTTGGAACCGATGAAAAATTTGAGCACGTGACGGAGAACAGCGCCGACGCATCCGCACGTCGGACCTGGAATCGGCCATCTACACATATACCACTCCGTTATGTTTTCCGATCCGGTGTGGTGTTTTCCTACCTTTCATGGTTTGAATGGGACATGGTCGTTTTTGGCGAAGCCTCATGCCATCGGCAACAAACACATGACTAGACAGCCCCCTTCGACCCGATGCTCTGGGGTGATCGCTGGCACTCTGCGCCCATCTTCTGCGGGTCAAGATGCGCCGCAGGGTCGTTTCGGCACGAGCCGGAGGAGCCATCGGCGCTGGCCAAAACAAGGAGGGAGGCGGGCAGAGGAAGGAGTCGAACAAGGCACAAACGCCGTGACCATACATTTGGGGAGGTTCGCACGTATTTCTTGGAGCGGCCTTGGCCCATCTGGGGCTCAGGAGGGGCTTTGGCTTTCGTGGCGTTCCTTAGATTTGGGTCGTGGGGCCCACTCTTGGCCGAGGCCTGCCGTGGCCAGGAGGCCCTACCGTTCCTCATGACAACACGATGGCTGCAGTCGGAAAATAGCAGAACTGCATACTCATCGGTCGTTGAAAGTAGGTATTTGTTTGATTCCCAGGTTCCAATCCACTTTAAGCGCCGTCCTACTTCAGTGATCGAGTGGCTTCACTTTTTCCGCCCAGCTTTAGGGGGCGGGCGGACACCCAATCTACTTTCAACGCCTTCCTACTTCATGTTTCTACCAACTTCTTTTCCAACCGATGGGTAAACATAATTTTTCTGAGGTCCGTGCGGATTTCTTGGATCCGCGCTGGTTCCCCCTGGCGGCGACTCTCGTGCCGCGCCTGGCGCGCTCCCAGCGCCAGGGAGCGGGGGGCCCGGCGCCGATCCAAGAGATCCGCCCGGACCTCCGTGAAATGCTGCTTCTTGTGCACAAGTCTAGCTTTCCTCACCTGTCGAGCCCCTCTCCGGCGCCGGCCCCCTCTCAGGCTACGATTCGCTGCGTTGCTGCTTGCTGGTCGGCTTGTCCGGTGCTCCCGGTCTTGCCTGGGGTGACTTCCTGGTCCGCGTTGCAGTCGGTGCCGAGCTTTTGTGGAGATCTGCGGTCGCGTTCCCATCCCTCTCTTTCGGGGGACGAAATCTATACATATCCACTGCTCCCTGGCCAGGCCCATCCTGAACCCAGGAGCTGTGTATACGCCCTCCTGGCCAAACCAGGAGGGCGTGGCGTATACACAGCTGCTGTGTTCAGGATGGGCCTGGCCTGGGAGCAGTGGATCTGTATAGATTTCGTCGCCCTATCTCTTCCCCCCCCGAGCAAGCAGGCCCGGGACCTGGCGGTCGTGCTGACGCAGATCTCCGCCTCCGTCTGCGAGCACGCCCGCTCGGACGTCCTCTTCTCCCGATGGCCGCCGCCGCCCAGGGCGGCCGGCGGTCGGGGGGCGGAGGCCGTCAGGAACAGAGCGGTGTCGCCGCCTTCGTGCGCAGGGGAGAGATCGTCGGTATCATTTAACCGATCCCCATCCCCATCCCCATCCCTTTCGAGACCCCCACCAAATTACCACCCCAGTTGGGGATACACCCCTCGAAACCCGAAGGAAACGACCTATATCCCCATCTAGGGGGGTAAATCGGACAGTGGGGCCCAGGCCACGCCGCTGGGGATGGGGATCGGTTAAACGATACTCAGATCGGGGGTGGACAGAACCCCCACCCTGACACGTCGATTAGTGAATTGTCTGTTTCCGGTTCTCGAGAGGACGCCGCGGCCGCCATTTTCCAGGCTTGCGCCCGCCGGGTTTGGGCCCGGGGTCAGGAGGGGGGATGTCAGGGACCGTTGTTGGCTGTTCGGTGTATCTCGGGCCCCCGTCCGAGGCACGTGAGAAAATGAACACGAAACGTACAACTTGCGAACATGTATGTGTTTGGCCTCTCCGGGTCTCTTGGGGGTCCTTGGGTTGTTCTGGTTCGTCTTAGGGGGTTTGGGGTGGTTTTGGTGGTCTGGTTGTTCTGGGGTTGTTCTGGTTCGTCTTGGGGGGTTTTGGCCGTGATGAGGTCGTCGTCGGGGCCTCTGGAGGCTCTATCGGGGCTCGCGGCGGCCGCGGCCGTAGGGAAGGTCATCTGGCAGACGAGTTTTGAGTGCTCTTGGGGTCTAGGGGCCTCTTGGGGGCCTCCTTGGGGCCTCTTGGAAGCCTCTTGGGGCCTCTTGGGGCGTTCTTGGGGCCTCCTGGGGCCCTTTCGGGGCGAAAAGTTAGATTTTGAAAGTGTTGGTCGCCCTCTTCGGCCCCTCTTGAGACCAGCTCGGGGCCCTCGTGTGCTCTGTTGTCCTGTCTTGGGGCCCTCCAGAGCCGTCTTGGGGCCGTTTGGGGGCTGTCTTGGGGGCCTCCAGGGCTGTTTTGGGGCGCTCTTGAGGGCCTCTTGGGCCGTCTTGGAGCGTCGGGAAGGTGAAAAGGCGAGAAAGCAATACCTATTTGATTTCCCATGTGTACCATCGGTGCTTCTGCTGCTGCTCCTCCTTCTCCTCCTCGGTGTCCTCCTCCTGCTGCTGCTTCTGCTGCTGCTGCTGCTGCTGCGTCTGCTGCTGCAGCTGCTGCTGCTGCTGCTACCGCTGCTGCTGCTGCTGCTACCGCTGCTGCTGCCCCACCTCCCCGTCCTCCTCCTCAAAGGGCCCTCACCCCCAGCGCACCCTCTGTGGCGTCGAGGAAATGCCACGCCTGCCACGCCCTGGGAGCCTGCAACGCATAGGGCCTCCACCCCCAGCGCACCCCTGGCGGGGTGGGGGCCCTATGCGTTGCACGCAGCGCATAGGGCCCCCACCCCCAGCGCACCCCCTGCGGCGCCCAGGAAATGCCACGTCTGCCACGCCCTGGGAGCCTATAACGCATAGGGCCCCCACCCCCAGCGCACCCCCTGTGGCGTTGTGCTGTGCTGTGCTGTGCTGCTGTGCGGTGAGCTGTGCTGTGCCGTGCTGTGCTGTGCTGTGCTGTGCTGAGTTGAGCTGAGCTGCGAGAAGGAGAAGGGGAGGGGGGAGGTGTGAGACGCGGGTGCGGCGCGGCAGGGAAGAAAACCAGAACCCCACGAAACATGTTGGGAAAAACGTCGAAAAACACAATGGGTAATCAATGATTTTGGCCCCTCGGGGCTCTCTTGGGAGGCCTTTTTGGGGCCTCTTGGGGCGTTTTGAAGGCGTCTTGGGCTGTCTGGGGCGATCTTGGATTCTCTTGCAACGGTCCTGGGCTGTGCTGGCGCCTTCCTTGAGCATTCGTGGACCTCTCCGGGACCTGTCGTGGCCCGTCCTGGCTGTATTTTCGGGCCGGCTCAGAGCAGCCCTATAGGATCATCGGGGGGGCCGAATTAGGTGCCGGCCCTCCGGGGTGGGTCCCTTATAATGTGATAGAGGAACGAATATTTATACATATATATATACATATATATTTATATTTAGGTATGTATTCGTATGTCTGCTATAACCGTGTATATATATATATGCAGATGCAGCTACACCGATGTATACTATGTATGTATCATCTATCTATATATAGGTGTATGCATCGGTTCCTACGCATATGCGCGCTCACATATATACACAGGTCAACAACACTGAATCGGTGTTCTGCTCCTTCCGAGGCCACGGGCCCTGCAAGTTTAGTCAGCGGCCAACGCCTGCGATCGATCTGCCTGGGCAGGCTGGTCTTCATGCCTGTACTGGGGACACATCCAGCCTGCGTCAATCGATCCGCTGTGGAAGATTAGCTTGGTGACCAACGCAGCGAATTTTCCGTGATTGCCGCGGTGCCTCCAGTGTGGTCCACGCGGCTCGCTCAGTGACGGTTGTACCCTCATTGGTGGGCAAGCGCTTGGGAGCTTTCAGAGCTTTGGTCCCCGACGCGCTCGGAAGCCGAGAGTTTCCAGGCGGCTTCCGAAACCTTCGATTCGGAGCCTTCGGTTTTTGTCGCGGGCGCGGTGACGGCGGAGGCGGCGGCGCAGGCCGCAACGACAGTGAGGATACCCATCGACCGCTGAAACTCTGTACTCTTTGATCCCCGGCTTGCAATCTGCCCGTAGGCGCCTGCCCTGTTCGAGGGCTCAGTGGCGTCCTCCCTTCCCCCGGTCTGCAGGGGGCAGGCGGAGATCCAGTGCACCTCCAGCTCCTTCCCGCTCCGTGGCCCTGCCCACTGCTTCGACCGAGGGCTGCAGCTCGGGCGACGGCGCAGCTGGGCGGCGGAGGCCACGCCTCGGGCGGAGGCCGCGGCGGCGGCGGGAGCGGACGACCGCCGCCGCCGCGGCGGCCTCTCGAGGGTCCGCGGGCGCAGGGCGCGGCACCACTGACCAGCAGGGGAGAGCCGCCTCCGGCAAGGGGCCGCGAAGCCTCGCCGAGCCAGGGACCGCGGGCGCCCCCTGCGGGAGGGGAGGGGAGGGGGGGACCGCGCCCGGGCGCCTCTCGCTGGAGGTGGCGGCGCCCCCGGGCGTCCTCCGAGGGGGTGTTAACGCTCCATCCTCGGCCCCGGAGCTCCCGACCCCTTCCCCGGGGCCGGTGTGTCGCCCCGGATCCACTTCTGCTGGTCCCATGCAGGGCCCGATGCCGCTCCCAAGAAGCCGGTGCCGACCGAGGAGCAGCGCTGCCATTGAAGCACTCGGATCGTCCGAGGTCTCGGGTCGCACTTCTGTTTCCCTGGGGACACTCGGTGGCCTCGGCGAAACGCGGGCGGCCACCGTTCAGGGGCAGTGTTAGAGGGTAGGCCCAGGAGGGGGACGCATCGACCGACACCCGATCGCCCACTGACCGCCGACAGTGGCTTGATAGCCCACCCCGCCCAGGACCGTGCAGGCTTGCTCCCTCGGGGCCGATCGCCGATCGGCGGGCGACGTGCCGCCGACTCCAGCTCGATGCCTCCTCCCCCCCCCAAGGCGAGTCCCAAGCCTCACCGCCTCCACCCAGGAAGACGTGGCGCCGCCTGCTTCATTCTGCCCCGGGTCCGCCTGCCACAAAGGACCGCTCCTCGGCCCAGGTGACGAGCCTAAAAAACCTTCCCCCTGTCCTTTCCCCCCGAGGTCCCAGCCTGCGGCAACCATTTCTTTCAATCTGTTGCCCCCCCCATCCCCCTGGACCCCGATCCCGGTGCCGAGCCAGCCGCGGCCGACAGCGGACACAATCGGATCGCGCGGTGCCCCGCGCGAGCATTGAAATAGTAAGTCGCGGGGAGGCGGGCCGCGCGCGAGAGCTGCACTGCAGCCAAGACGCTGAACTAAGGACCGCGCTGGGCTCAGGAGGACCTCTGTGGTTTTCGGGCCGTTCCTTGGGCTTGCATCGGAGAACCTGTCCGTGAGCGAGGCTCGCCGTGGCCAGGAAAGCCATTCCGTTCCTGATTCAGTTTGGCGTACCTTACAGTCGAGACCCATGCCAAGAAACACCCTGCTTGCCTCCAGGGTGCCCTGGGTTTCTTGGGTTTCAATGGTTTTGCTAATGAAAGCGTGACTTTCCCACACCAAAAATCAATGGAAGTCCTGTGGTCTCAGGGTTGGGTTTCTTGTGGAAGGTTTCTTGTGGATTGGCCTCCACTGTATGGTCGCACGATGAGTGCACTCTTCCAGGGCAGTGTGACGTTCCAAGCCCTCGGCCACGCCCCCGCAGGCTGGGGACGCACAGGGGCCCGGGCGAGACCAAGGCGGCCACCGTGCCCTACGCCCAGTGTCTGCTGATCGCGCGATAGGCCATCACAGCTCGCAGTGGCCGGGGGACATCACGCGATCGCCGATCCCGTGAGCGGCTCGGCTTCACATCACGCGATCGTTCGGGAGCTGGACGGCGCGATCGATCCGTGACCGGCGCGGTAGCCATCGAGACTAGGGCTGCCATTGGGTCACGTGTAGGAGATAGGAGGAGGAGGAGGAGGAGGAGGAGGAGGAGGAGGAGGAGGAGGAGGAGGAGGAGGAGGAGGAGGAGGAGGAGGAGAAAGAGGAGCAGGAGGAGGAGGAGGAGGAGGAGGAGGAGGAGGAGGAGGAGGAGGAGGAGGAGGAGGAGGGGGAGGCCGAGCGATCAGCCAGACACCAAGATCCTACGGCCTCGCCTCCGCCCTGAAGGCGCGCCGCCCGCGGCCGCGGGCAGCGCCCCGCCGCCCGCGCCGCGCCTCCCGCCGATCCTGCGGCGGCCTCTCGGTGCGGGGCGGGCGCGCCCCGCCCAGGCAGGAGAGGGCCTCCTCGTCCCGCGGGGGGGGGGGCGCTCGCTCGGTCGGGCGCCGTGCCCAGGCCAGTGGGCGGGAAGCGCTCTCGTCTCCGCCCAGAGCCCCTCGCGCGGCGGCATGGACCACGATGTGTTTTTGCCCAGACGCCCTCGAGTGATGAACAAAATCATGACGGGCGGTTTTTCGCCATTCCCGGCCTCTGGGGGCCCTGACTGGGCCTCGGGACCGTCGAAAAACGACTCGGGATGAAAAACCGGTCCCGGGCATTAGGTCGAGACTTCGGGGGGTCGACGTAATGAAGAAATCAGGACGTCGGGGGTCTGGGTTGTTGGTTGTCATCCGATTTTCGGCCTCTGGGAGGCCTCACCGGGCCCCGGGGCTGTCAAGAAGCGGCCCGGGATCGCAAGCTGGGCCCCGGGGAGGAGGCCCATATGCGTCTGAGGATCGACGCCGTGAGCGCAGACACGACGTCGGAGATCTGGGTCCACGGCCTCGCGAGCTGGGCACCCGGACAGCGGCCCCATGGACACAGGGCGTTTGTTCTGTCAGATGCCCCGCGTGGAGCGTATCCGTGCGTCTCGGAGTCCAGACCGCGATGGCGTGGATGTGGACGAGTTCGCCGCTCGTGGCCGAGGGGAGGTAGCCACGAGGGTGTTCACCGCTTCCCTCCTGGAAGTCGAGGATCGAGGGGAGGGAGGGTCGAGGATCGATGAGGTTTGGGTTGTTTTTCGGGGGGTGTCTTTGGGGGTCCTTGGGGTAGTTCTGCGCGGTCCAGGGAGGCCCGATCCCTGGAGGCCCCCTCAGCAGTGACCCCCCTTGGCGTTGACGACCCCCTCAGCTGGGGCCCCCTTTGGCATTGCCCGGCGCTCGCTGGAGTCGGGGACTGCGTGGGGAGCCAGTGGGCGTGGATCGCAACAAGAGTCCAATGCGGTGACCGGTGTTAGCGACAAGCGGTTGTCGCTCGAGCCTCGGTGGCCTGTCCAATCTGGCCCACTGGCTTTCCCCTCCCGCGCGCATCGCTGGCGAACATCATCCCTGGCCCAAATCACCCACCGCACTCTTGTCCTAGGTGCGCATCTCTGCCACAGCCTTCAGGAGCCGTAGGGCTTGCTTGACCCGCCAAGAGCCACAGGTACCAGCGGCCAACCCACAATTCGGCACCTCTCCCAACTGTGACGTGACCGTTGGCTCGGCCAGTAATTTTATTTTACCTGCTTCGCAGCGCAAGTCAGAGTGAGGGGGCCGAACGGTCATTCATTGTCCCTGGGTTCGTTGCTGAATAAGGAATTCGTGGTGAGAATTCTGCTTGTTGCGTTGTTGTTGTTGTTGGTGGTGGTGGTGTTGTTGTTGTTGTTGTTGCTGTTGCTGTTGCTGTTGTTGTTGTTGTTGTTGTTGTTGTTGTTGTTGTTGTTGTTGTTGTTGTTGTTGTTGTTGTTGTTGTTGTTGTTGTTGTCGTTTTTGTTGTTGTTATTGTTGTTGTTTGATGTTGTTGATGTTGTTGTTGTTGTTGTTGATGCTGCTGTTGTTGTTGTTGCTGTTGCTGCTGCTGCTGTTGCTGTTGTTCTTGTTACTATTATTGTTGTTGTTGTTGTTGCTGTTGCTGCTGCTGCTGTTGTTGTTGTTGTTGTTGCTGTTGTTATTGTTGTTGTTGTCGTTGATGTTGCTGCTGTTGTTGCTGCTGCTGCTGTTGCTGTTGCTGTTGGTGTTGTTGTTGTTGTTGTTGTTGTTGTTGTTGTTGTTGTTGGTGGTGTTGTAGTTGTTGTGGTTGTTGCTGCTGCTGTTGTTGTTGTTGTTGTTGTTGTTGTTGTTGTTGTTGTTGTTGTTGTTGTTGTTGTTGTTGTTTGTTGTCGTCGTCCCACCCGCGACACACCCTGCGACCCACCCCGCGACCCACCCGCGACCCAACCCCGCGACCCACCCGCGACCCACCCCGCGACCCACCCGCGACCCACCCCGCGACCTATCCGCGACCCACCCTGCGACCCACCCCGCGACCCACCCGCGACCCACCCCGCGACCCACCCGCGACCCACCCCGCGACCCACCCTCAAGGGAGGAAAAACCACCTGGACCCGACAATTGACGTTTACTAAACGGCCCTGGGCGTTTACTAAACAGCCCTGCCCTGTTCGATTCATTCCTTGTGTGCGTTTACCAAACGGCTTCGCTTGTCGGGGTGATTCTTATGGGGTGGATTTTCTGCCCTCTACACCCGCGACCCACCCCACGACCCAACAGCGACCCACCCGCGACCCACTCGCGACCCACCCGCGTCCCACCCGCGACCCACCCGCGACCGACCCACATTTATTTAACGGCAAAATCGGCGCCTGCGGCGGGCTCGTTGTATAGTTTGTGAAACTGTGGCGCCTGCGGCGGGCTTCTCCAGAGTCTCGCAAACTGCCGACGTCCCCACCGCCCCCTCACTCTTATCCGCCTCTGCGGGGTGCTGCGTACTTCCCGCATTGGTTCGTTCATATTTGGCGCAGCGAGCCAGCATCGACGACGCTCTTCCCCTTCCTGGGGGAGTTCTATGACCCTCAGCTCCTGAGGTCAATGTTGGTGTCGATCCGCGGCCCAGTTGTGGCGAACAATGTTGGGATCGGACGTCCAGCCCCAGCGAAGGTGTAAGCTCACGGACACACGTGTCCTGCTGCTGCTGCTGGCCTTCCATTGCTAGTTGCTCATTGTTGGCTCTCGCTTCTCTTCTGCTCCTTTTGGTTCGTGTTGGCTCTTGGTTCATGCTGATTTCTTGATTTTGTTGGCGCTTATCCTCTCATCTCAACATTTCCCTTCCGAGATGTCGCCGTCTGCCTGTCTCTCCGCAAGCTCCCGCGTCTGCGGGGGCGGACGGGACCCGGAGCGCGGCCAGAGGCGCATTGACGGTTCGAGTCAAGACGAGAAGCGAGATCACGAGGAGCAGTTGCAGGAGGAGGCCGAGCAGGAGGGGGTGGGGAGGAGGAGGAGGTGGAGGAGGAGGATGAGGAGGAGGAGTCCGAGATGGGAATTTACCCAGAACCACCTCCTGGGTGATCGATCTTCGGGGACTTCGGCAGGCGGTGGATATGGATGTATTCGGGCCCCTTGGGGCCGGAACACATCCACATTCACCACCTGGAGTCCGAAAAGGTCGGTCCCCCAGGCGGTGGATTGGAACCTCGCAAGGAAGACAATGAGGAGCAGTAGGAGGAGGCGGAGGAGGAGGAGTTGGAGGAGGAGGAGGAGGAGGAAGACGACGACGACGCATAAGAGGACGAGCTGGAGCAGCTGGGGGAGCAGCGGCGCGAGGAGCCGCAGAGAGCCGAGCCCGTCGCCAGGATAGGGCCATCGCCGCCGTTTCGGAGTTGTGCCCCAGGATCTCGAGGGGTGGCGGCTGCCCATGTATCCTACATTCTGACAAAGACCAAGACGGATGCTTTCGTCGTCTCCGGCCTCTGGGGGCCACCGCCTGGCCCCAGGACCGTCGAGCAACTGCTCAGGATGGAGAGCCAGTCCTGGGTGTCCACGAACGAAATGGGTACATAAAGAATTGGTACAATGCCCAACAGCAGTTCCTGCTCATTTTGAACAGGACTCGCTGTCCACGCCGCCGCGGCCTGTGCCCATTCGAGACAGAAGGCCGCCTGCCCAGCAGCGGCCGCTGTTGGTTTGGGAGAACACTTGTTGCTGGGCACTGTGCCCATCCTTTCCGTATCCATCTCGGGCGTCCAAAGACCAAGACGGATGCTTTCGTCGTCTCCGGCCTCTGGGGGCCACCGCGGGGCCCCAGGGACCGTCGAGCAGCTGCTCAGGACGAAGAGCCAGTCTGGGGGAAGGGGGCCCCGACTTCGGGGGACTCCCCACGGACAGGCACATCGAGACATCGGCGGGGTGGGGATCTCTGCCCGCCTGCACGGGCGGGCAGATGTGGCGCCGTCCATTCTGCTCGCGCCACACACTGGAGCAGCGGTCACTGCCAACACGGGCTCACACAGCCCCGTTGTGTGACGGGGCCAGCTCGGGTCACAACAGCTCCGGTGGGCTTCGGTGGGTGGACTAAAAGTGTCTACACGTATCTCGCCAAGACCTTGAGTAACCAAAGCACGTCGGACCAACATGTATACTTCCCTTACCCCAGATTCAAAGTTGACGGGTTTCGTTGGTAGGCCAATGGCCACTGACAAAATGTGGACATTTCAACTTTGAGTTCCAGGGGGGGGCGAAGCAAGGGCATTTTGCAGTTGTGGTTGTTATCATGCTGCATCGCCTTACTGCAATGGGTGTTGACTTTTTTTGTCCGGGCACCGTTGCGATTGCTCGCCCCGACGGCTCCCGAGAGGGGTCACACGACATGCCCGCCAGCACGGGCGTGTGACTGCCGCGAGCTGGCAGCACTACAACACGGATGCGGCCATAAATCCGCTCCCCGAGTCTCAGGGGGGGGGGTACGACCCCGCGGCAGTGGGCGGGCAAGGCCTGTGTCCATAATTATCCATTGAAGCTCGGATTTTCGGGCTCCCCTCCACCCCCAGAGCCGGGATCCCGCAAAGCGTGTGTGTGCCCCGGGGGGGGGGGGGAGTTCGATCGGCTTTTGCACCGAGCCGCCCAAGGCAGATGCCTCCCAACCGCTGGCCGCTCCCGGTAGTTGTGGACAGGTGGGGCGTGCGGGGGGCATCTGTTTGCGGCAGTTCGGTGCACCAGCGGATCGAATTCATGCCCCTCCTCAGGGCCTCAGGGCCCCCCCCCCCTTTTGGTGGCTCCCGATAGGAGTTTCGGGCTCCCTTCCCCAGAAACCCGATGTGCACTTGGTATGACATGTGGACAACCAAAGACGCCACCTCCTAGGGGCTCGACGTCTATCCCTGATTAGCCGGTGCGCCTCGGTCTTGCGGCGCCCCTTCCGATTGGACATGGGAAGAAATGTTGCCCGCAGCAGCTTGGGGAGCGAGGGCTGGGCGGGGCCAGGACGAGGACAAGTCGGTTCCAGAGCGTGCCGGAAGGCTCCAAGAGCGCTCTAGAGGGCTCTCTGAGAAGGCCGCGGCGCCCGAGGCATCCTCCAGAGCCGCCAGATCCTCAGAGATTCTCGACGCATCTCGGCGGCGAGAACTCTGGGGAGGTGAGAAGGAGAGGGCCTTCTCAGAAGGCGGCGGGACTTCTCACAAGCCCTCGCGCCTTCTGAGAAGTGTCCTGTGTCTTCGGGGAAGGCCTGGAAGCCTTCTCAGCAGGCTGGGGGCCTTCCGAGCCCTCCGAGGAGGCCTCCTCCTCCTCCTCCCTTCCCCCCCCCGAGCTCGCCGCCGACGATCCTCACCCGAGCTCGTCCTCGCCCCGGCCTCGCCCTCCGCGCGGCGCCGGGGGGGCCCGAGACCCGTGCCCGGCGGCCCCGCCAGCTGGCGACGTGGCACGCGGCCGCCCACTTCGTCAGCAGGCGGAGGGACCAGAAGGAGGGCGAGGCGCCGCCCCCCCCGCGGGGCGCCCGGGGAGGGGGGGGCCCCCCTCCGCGCGCAAAGGCCCTCCGCGGGGTGCGCCCTCGTCGCAGCGGCACCGCTGGCGGCGTGGCGACGCGGCCGCGCCGCGGGCTCGGCATCGCTCGGGCGCGGGCCCTTTTTTTTTTTTTTCTCCGTCGGCGAGGGCCGCCGAGGCGTGTCCTCGACCCATCGAGGGGAGCAGGAGCACGCGCGAGGTCGGAGCGTGCACGGGGAGCGAGCGTCCGAGCGATGGCGAGCGGGGTGCCTCGGTCGGGATCCGGGGGTGGCCGCACGGCGTGGGTCGGGGGAAAAGGTCTGATGATGGCCACCGCCCACGCGCGTGCGCCTCTGAGGGCTCCGTGGCCCTTCTGCGCGCGCAGCCCCCCTTGCCCTGCTCGGTGGTCCCTGTCCCTGCGGGTTTCGCTGCCTCGCTTCTTTGCTTCGGTCGTTGTCCCTCAGCCGCTGTGTCTTTCCTCAGGTGTGATCGAAAAAGATCACGCTTGAGCCGAGCATTGTTGCCACTGCAGCTCGCGATGGCACATGACTTGCATGAGCTGCTGCAGGTGTGCACGTATGCATGAATGGATCACTGCGTGGATGTGTTGCGAACCGTGGCCGCCGAGGCTGGAATCTAGAAGTCGCCAGACACGTCCTAGAGCCAGGCGGAACAATCGCACAATCACAGCTTGAGAGCTCTTTGGTATCATCGTGCCCTCGCTCGTTCGCCTGTGTTCAGGCCCTCGTTCGGTCCCATTGCTGCCTGGGAGTTGGCGCTGGACCCTCACCCACGTCCACAACAAAAAGCCCTGCGGGTGCGCCCTTCTCGCGGAGAGGAGGAACCCGTGCTCGGATTCGGGCGAAGGGGGTCCTTGGCACAGAGGGTCCCGGAACTACGCACGGCGTGCAAGATCAGCAGGGATTCGCACGTGGTGTAGTACCAGCACGTAGTTCGTGCAACACACACCTCTTGCAATAGCAGCCCTGCGCCTATTTCGTACAATCGTTCGTGCGGGATACGCACGTCGTACAATATCAGCACGCGGCCGCCGCGCGTCTTGCGCCACAGGATGAGCTATTGCACTTGTTTTTGCGACCCCATTGCGCAAGATCCCCCTCTGCCCCGAACAAACAAGCGGTGCGGTAGCCGCACCGTGGCGTGCGTCAGTCAGGATCCGGATGTGACCGCACGGCGTTGGGACTTGCGTCGCTCTCCGGGGATGTCGCGGGCGGCTGGGGCCTCCGTCCCAAGGCCGTGCGGTGACGGACCGCGCGGTGAAGGCCTTCGGGATTTCGAGGTCACCGCACGGTCTGTCACCATACGGCTTTTGGACGGCCAGGCCCTCGAGGGAGGAAAGAGGAGGACGAGGATCGAAGCGGAACAAATCGCACAAACACAGCTCGTCGAAGTTCCGCGCGGATTCATTGGATCTGCGCTGGACCCCCTTAGCGGCGCCAGGCAGGGACACTTCGGCAACACCCGAGAGGAGGCCGGGTAGGATGAGGCAGCGTTCTGTTTGGTTGATGTTCGAACCACGCGATGATTTGTAGACCTACCAGAGCTGCGCTATCACAGTTACAAACATGTCTAGCTCGCCACTCATTTCGACCCTTTGGTAATCCAGCGCCTTCGTCTTCGAATAACCCTTGACGTGGTCGAGGTGGCTGGTGCAAGTTTGCTAGCAGATCTCCAGAGGCTCGCTGGCGCGTGGACCCTTCTGACGCAGAGGCGTATCTCAGGCGGGCGGGTGATGATGGTGACGACGACGACACATACTTGTGTTTATGATGGCTGATGGTCGTGATTGAAATAGCCGACATCACCTCATCACTAAATTTTAAGAGGCACGCTGACCCCGATCGCGTGCGGGCGGGCGGGTGATGATTTTGCCCACGACGATGAAGCTGCGTGTGTATATACATATATATATACATATATCAGTGTACACACAGATAGCATGTGCGTATGAGATGGAGACGCCCTCATGCCAAAGGGTTCAGCCAACTCTAAATATCAGAGTCTGCGTGCGTGCGCTGACGTGCACGCGCGTGTGCGTGGCCATTCCATTCTATCATTTTCGCATTCATGCCGTCGGCGCGATAAGGCTTTGCACGACTTTATCTTGTTGGCGTGTGTGCGTCCCCTATCGTATCAGTCGTTATGCCTTTGCTCTCGCAAAACCGTTGTGTTGTTTAAACGCGCGGCACCGCATAGTACTATCCGGCATGGATGACGGGGCGGGGGCGGGGGGGGTCGACTTTTGTCGGCCGAGGATGGTTTACCTCACAGCTAGGACGGACGATCGTCAAGCTAGTTACTAGTTCCTGAAGAATGGTATGCGGGGGGGTGCCGATAACCCCACCTCGGCAGGGTGCGAGCCATTATGCCATTCTCTTGTTCATTAAGGAACGGATATCATGGCTGGCCCCCCGCACCTTGTGTTTGTATCGACGCACACTGGCGGCTTCCCTTCGCCCGCGCACGCGTCTCGGGCCGTGCTGCGCTGTCTCGCCCCTTGCCTGCCCCCCCGTGCTCTCCGGCGCCCCCGACCTCGACTGCCCCGCCAGAGGCGCAAGGGCACCTGAGAACGTGGGAGAGGCACAAGGCCCGGGTCCTCAAGGCGAAGGACCTCGCCGCCGAATGGCTGTCGGGCAGGACAGGGAGAGCGGAGGTGGCCCAGCCTCACGACCACCCTTCGGGTGATAAGGAGGGGGGGCGAACCAACCGAAGACAACTGCGATGGGACACCGTCCGAACACCCTGGGGACGAATAAATGCCACCATCGGGACACCATCGGGACAACATCAGAGCACTATCGGGGCACCATCGGGACACCATTGTGGTCCATCCGTACACTACTTGTCTATCGATCTCATTTTCGGCATCACTATAGGTTTCGCTATTGATCTCACTAGCGATCTCACTATCGATCCCACTACCGATCTCACTATCGATCTCACTATCTTGTTATCATCCTGACAATCGGTTTCACTATCGATCTTACGCTCGGATCCGCTAACCATTTCACTACCGATCTCACCATCGATATCACTATTTGTTTGTCGACCTCACTATCGGTCCCACTCTCGATCTATCGGTCTCACGATCGACCGCACGATCGGCGTCACGATGGGACACCATTGGGACACCCTGGGTACAAATAAATGCCACCACCGGGACACCACGGGCACACCATCGGGACACCATGGAGACACCATCGAGACACCATCGGGACACCATCGGGACACCATCGAGGCACCATCGGGACACCTTTGGGACAACATCGGAACACCCCCAAGCCACCGCCAGCCAACAAGCGGGATACAACGGGGGAGTAGAATCATTTGAGCTGGTTTTGCCCTTGCAACGGCGAGGTCATTCCGCTCTCCTGCCCACGCAGCTTCGCCTCGCCCGCCCGCACGCACGACTCGAAACCGAAACCGATTCCCCAGTAAGGGTTCGCCGTTTCAATTAGATCTCACCCCAACCTCCGATTCCTGCCCTGCGCCCATGGAGCCCTAATTGAAGGAACATTATCGGGATCACCTCGTGGTTCAATATAAGATTTGGTCCCCAAGAACAATTTCTTGATGTCCGCGCCCCGTCCTTCCTGCAGACAGATCCAATTTCAATTCTAGACGCTTTGCGTATCCCCACCAGCCCGTCCAGAAACGACGCCCAGGCGAGTAGAGGGTCGTCCTGAGGGGCTTTTCGGCGTCTTGGGTGCCTCGGGGGGGCCTCTGTGGGCCGTTCGGGATCCTCTTTGGGGCCTCCTGGGGGCCTCTTGGGGCCTCTTGGGGCCATCTTGGGGCCTTTGGGGGCCTCCTGGGCGCTTCTTGGGGCCTCCTGGGCGCTTCTTGGGTGCCTCTGGGGGGTCTCTTGGGGCCTCTTGGGGGTCTCTTGGGGGCCTCCTGGGGGCCTCTTGGGGGGCCTCGGAGCCATCTTGGAGGAGATCGATCAACGAAGGGGGGTTCCCTAATTACAGCCCCCCCTCAGGAGCCACGATCCTCGTGAGGGGTGTCGAATTTTAGCCCTCCCAGGGGTCGATCTTGGGCGCTCCAACGCGCCGCGGAACCCCCTGTCCAGGTCAGTGGGGAGGGGGTAGGGGGAGGGGTAAACCCCTCCCCGAAGGGGGAAGAGGGAGGGGTGGAAGAGGAAACTCGTTAAACCACCGACGCCCAGAGGGCTGGTGGGATTTCGTTCACTCGTTCGCTCGGCGCTCGGCTCCCCCCGCGGACAGACCCGCACCTCGTTCTCACCCGCTGCGGCCCCAGCCCGAGGATGTCACTTCTTGATTCCCGGTTTCTCCTTGCCAGAGGAACGCATCCTCTCCCGCGGTCCCACCCCGAGAACGGCGTCTATTGATTCTGTTGGGCGCAGCTCGCCATCAGAACCTACCTCCTTGACACGTCCATGACAAGGGAGGCTATTCTAAATCCCCGACGCTTCGCGTAACCCCACCAGCTGGTAGGTTCTGATTCCGTGCTCGGTCGCTGTGCTTTTAGGCTCGCGCGTAGCTCCTCCCCTCACGCCGCAGGCGGCCTCGCCCGCGCGTGTTAATTAGATCGGGCCGTGGCCCGGACCTTTCAACTCGGCGACTGCGCTTTCGCTTGCGCCCGCGAGAAAAAGTACCACCACCAGCCCATCCAGAAACGATGCCTAGGCGAGTTGCCCTGATCAGGGATGTGGAGAAGCATGCAGTGGAATACAGGGCTGGGGAAGCCGTCATACCCCAAGAGGGGGAGGATGGAGGAGTATTCGGAGGAGGAGGGGAAGGAGGGGGAGTGGGAGGGAGGAGGAGGAATAGGCGGATGAGCCAGAAGAGGAGGAGGAGGAGGAGGATGAGGAGGAGGAAGAGGAGGAGGAGGAGGAGGAGGAGGAGGAAGGGGGGAGGAGGAGGAAGGGAGGAGGAGGAGGGCGAGCAGAACGGCCAGAGGCCTCTTGGATACCTCTCGGAGTCGCTTCGGATGTCTCTCGGGAGTTTTTGCGAGTTCTCTTGGGGGGTCCAGGGGGCCTCTTGGCGGTCCCAGAGAGTCTCTTGTAGCGTCTTGGGTGTCTTGGGCGAGCCTCTTGGGGCCTCTCGGGGGTCTCTTAGGAGTCTCTTGGGGATCTCTTGGGTGCCTCTTGATGCCTCCTGGGCGTCTCTTCTGGCCCTGTTGGGGCACTCTTCGGAGCCTTGGGGGTTATCCTGGGGCCATCTTGGAGGACTTCGATCAAAGAAGGCGACGGGTCAAATTTGGGTCCCCCCCACAGGAGGCCAACATGGGTCCAACACCCAGTGGGAGTCCATCATTTGGGCCTTCTCGCCGAGGCCATCTGGGACGCTGTAACGACCCGCGGGGCGCCCCGTCCAGGGGTAGGGGGTTAGGGGGGAGGGGCCAAGGCACCCTCCGCACCCGCAAGCTGTCTCGCTCACTCCTATCCGCCCTCCCAACACATACGTAGCACCCGAGCCTCAGCGTATTCAGCGGCCGTCTACGGATGGACAGCTACAGGAAACAAAAGCAGACCCCATGTGCGCGACGCTGGGGCGGGGTGCGCCACGCGTGAAAGGCACGCCACGCGCGCCAGGTGCGCTAGGCCCCCCTGGAGCCCAAGCGTGCCAGGCACGCCAGGCACGTCAGACGCGCCACGTGCTCCACTTGCGCCAAGTGTGCCGCATGGTCCAGCCGCGCCAGGTGTGCCACGTTCGGGGCACGCGCAGGGTGTGCCATCCCAACCGATCATGTCGGAAGTCAATGCGCAATCGCAGCGGGGAGGCCAGCCTGGTGTCCCTCGGGCCTGCACACACCAGGCAACATGCCAGCACCCCCGCCGCTCTTGTCAACATCCAATGGTCAGTGATCACGGGTTGGCCGCGCATGGTCCCGAATTAGCCGCAAAGTGTACTCAGTATTGTTTTTGACAGATTTTGGTCTTGCGCACGGGAGGCACTCTGAGAATTAATTCCCCCGCCGTCCCTGTCAACAACGATGCAAAGTGCTCGTGGAGCTCACGAGCATGATCCAGAATGTTGACCCAAAGTGTAGTGTGCTATGTTTTAATCATGGATGGTGTGGGGGGGCATTGTTCCTGGTTGGCTGCCGGTCGCCTGGGGGAGGAGGGGGTGTTTGTTGATAGGGAATAATGATAAACTATTGCCCGAAGAGGACGAAAAGGGGTTGGAAGAGGACACGCTCTGATCCACTCACGCCCTAAAGAGCTGGTGGGATGCAAAATGAGCACTCGTGACCCTAGGATGACGCATTTCCCCTCATAGAAGATGGGGATGTGGAGAAGGCCGAGGCCTGAGTCCTGAAGGCTCCAGGGCCTACCTCGGGGCGCCGCATGGCGTGGTCCCAGCCTTGGCCTTTGCGAAGCCTCCCCGGGATACGTCGCCCTGCGGAGACGTTTTGCCCCTCGCCCCCCCCACCCCCCCGCGACCCTCTCTCTCTCACACACACACACACACACACACCTGGCCAACCACCCAATAAAGAGCGTGCTTGTGTAATCCAGATCCTCTCCTCCTCACTTGGGTCTGCCCTCCCTCCCCGAAGATCTACCTCAAGAGTCGGGATGGGGAGAGGTCGCGCTTCCTCTTATTCTCTTCGCCTCATCGTGGTCTTTCTCATTCTCATCTTTCGTCTCCTCACTGTGATCTCTGTTGGCCTCCTCCTCCCTATATGGAGGGAGGTTTTCAGATCGAATCCTTTTGTATTGTGTGCGGTTGATAAGTCGACTCCTTGCGTGGAGGATTTGCACTTTGATTCCTGATGTGGATCGCGTGCCAGAGAGCTGAAGGCCGAACTGCCTTAGGGTCTCCCTCTCTCCCCTGAGCTGGGCTGCCTGCCTGGCTGGCCGGTCGAAAGGACGTGGAGTTCGAGGAGGCCCCGCTGAAGCTGCTC